AATGCAGATGTTGAGGACAATGTTCCTGGTGATGAGTATTGGCCGACTTGCTGTTCTCCTCATGAAAATGCTTATTTGGTCTGCAAAAGTGAGACTGCTGGGGATGGAACACAGTTGGAAAAAGAAGAGCAAAAAGCCAAGTCAATGTATGAAAGGTCTATGTATGATTACGTGGACTGCGAGGAGCTTTTGGAAGGGATTGTATACCCAAAGAGGGTGAATCGAAGAGGTGGTATCAACAATTGGTGCGCAAGTACGCGAGCTCTGGTGTTGGGCCACTATACTCATGGCGGAGTGTGTGGTATCACAAAAGAGACTCATCGAAGACCATGGCTATGTCGTTATTTGGCATCATTCGTGAGGCACCACAATCCTGAAGCCAAATTTTCTGCTCTTCAGATCTCATGCAATGCTCCGGTGTCATTGCATAGGGATAGTCACAATGAAAAGCATTGCTGCAATTATGTGTGTGGCTTTGGTGACTATAAAGATGGTCAGCTGTGGGTTGAGGATGAAAAGGTCTTAGAGGAAGGAGCTGAAGTGGTGGAGCAATCCTATGGGAAGAAAGTCTTACCTGGAAAATTGGTGGATATCCACTGGAACTTCATGTCGTTCTTTCCGAGAAAGCTGCATGGTCCTATGCCTTGGAAAGGGAACAGGGTATCCTTGACAGGGTACACACCTGTTTTTATGGAGCGTTTGAGCTACAAGGATAGGTGCTATCTTCTCCAATGCAAGTTTCCTCTTCCGGAACCACAAGCTGAAGAAGGTGAAAAAAGGAAGTGGTTAAAAATGACGTTGAAAGAGACCTCGCTGGACGACCTTGCAGAGGAAGTCGACTACGCTGTGTTCGAAGCGCATCAATGGGCTCTAGAGGAGCATTTGAGTATTCGACGCCTAATTGCTGAACAGGAATGTTGCATTTTGGACGAGTTCCATGGATCGGCCAATGAGTCGAATGAGGAGAAAGGATCAGAGACTAGAGAATGGCTGGTTAAAGCAAAAAGGGCTGAGGAACAGCTCTCGAAGTTTTTGGTCAAAGCAGCTCAAGTTCAGCAAATGGTGCAAGAAAATACCGCGCTTGAGGCAGCAGAGGAGGTTGAGTTCCTGCAAACAAAAACAATCCCTACACAAGAAGCCATGCAAGAGCTGGAAAAGTGGAGGGAATCATTGTCGGACGAGGTGACGTCTTTGGTGAAAGAGTTGGAGGTGGTGGAACCAACAACTCAAGAAAAGCTGGACAAATTGGCGGAAGAGCCTAATGCACCGGTGATTGAGTACGTTCCCAGTCTGGTGGTGTTTACCCGGAAGCAAGGGACAGGGAGGCGACGTGCCCGTATCTGTGCATGTGGAAACTTCATTTCGTCAACGGCAGCTACAGAATATGAAGGGCCGAGGTCACTCAGTCGTCACTCGCTGTACGCTCCAGGTTTAGATTCAACTACATTCAGGTGTCAAGTGAGGCACGCAGCATATATGGTGTGGATCATCGCTGGCTTAGACATTTCCAAAGCTTTTCTGACGGCGCCGATGAATAGGGCGCAAAGAGAAGGGCGTTTGGTGGTGGTGCAGCCCCCAAGGGCGGCGGTGAAATTGGGTCTTTGCACAAAAGAGGAGCGGTGGATTGTGAGAAAGGCCTTGTACGGTTTGGCCGAAAGTCCTGCAGCATGGGTGGAGTGGCGAGACCAACGTCTTCAAGGTATGTCTTGGGTGTCAAAGGATGGACAAGCAATGAGCTTTCAGAGGTCCAATGCAGACCCAAGTCTGTTCCTTATTATGGCACAAGAAAAGCCGGAAGGTGCAAGCAAGTTGGTAGGGACAATGGGTCTTTACGTGGATGATTTTTTGATGGCTGGGACTATGACAGTGCTCCGGGAGGCCTTGGAACAGATTAGGAAGGAGTGGAAAACTTCTGAACCCGAGTTCTGTGGTCCAGGCTGCGGTGATGGATTCCTGAAGTTTTTGGGTGTCCAAATCTGGTATCGAAATGGCAGCTTCTTTCTCAACCAGGAGGACTTTGTGAGAGATTTGCTGAACCGACGAGGGTATCAGATCGATGAAACTGGAAAAGGGAGTAACCTGCCAATGGTGAAAGAAACTCCAGGTGAAGAAGAGGAGGTGGATATTCCTTCCTTGCGAGCGGCTCAAGGTGCCGTAGGGGGAGTTCCTCTGGGTGGCAATCAAAACTCGCCCTGATTTGGCGTTCTGCACGAGCCAGTTGTCTTTGTGGACATCCCGAAGGCCACGATTTGTGGTTAAAAAGGCTGAGGAAGTTTTCCGATACCTTGCTGCAACTCCAACGTTAGGCTTGACGTTCGGAGCAATCGCAACATGCGAAAAAGAAAGGAATGAGGTGTTGCGTTATGGACGAGGTGTTAAGGTGGTGGAGTCCTACGCGGATGCCAGCTTTGCAGCAGGTGAAAATGAAAAGAGCCACTCAGGAGCGGTGGTGGTGTGGGGTGACTGTCCAGTGATGTGGGCAACACAAAGACAATCAACGGTGGCTTTAAGTACAGCTGAAGCTGAATTACATGCGTCCATAGAGGGAGCAACGATGATTCAGTCGTGCACCCCTATAATTGCCGCTTTGGTTGGAACAGGTGAAGAATCGCTGCAAAAAGTGCTGTATACAGATTCGGTTTCAACGTGCTCGATCATTCAATATCCTGCTGGAAGCTGGAGAACAAGACACCTGAGAATTCGAGCAGCCGGTGTCAGGTCTCTGGTGGACCGTGGTTATATGGTGATAGCGCACCTTCGCGGTGAGTATATGATCGCTGACCTGTTGACTAAGTTAATGAGTGGACAGGTGTACGCAAAGCAAAAGGCACTTTGGGGTCTCAGACTGTTGGTTCAAGGAACTGACTTGAAAAAAGCCTCGCTTGCAATGGCGGTCATGATGGTGGCTGCATCTCTGCAAGGGATGGCAACTGGTGGCGAAGAAGTGTCCACGGCTGGATTCTTTTGCTCAGAAGAAGGGGTGTGCAAGGTCGCCAACACGTCTACGGTGATGGTTCTGGCTCAAGGTATTGAAATGGTTGTCAACAATTCAGACCTTGTTGCGTATTTGGTGGCAGCAATTATACTCTGGGAACTGGCATGGTGCCTCTTTCGACGGCTGTATAAATGGCTGTGGATCAAGAAAGCGGTGGTTATTCCTGCGAGTGCCACTTTGTATACAACAGTGGGTGGGAACTGTATGCACGCAAGCAGTGACTGTGATGTTCTGCGATATTCACAGCCCAGGGCTAAGACGCTTTGTAAGCATTGCCTCAAGGATGGCTGGGTGGTGAATGCTGAGTTCCTTGGTGAGGAACGGGCCGCTGGAACGTGAATTTTCCAAGTACGAGGTGAAGAAATCCTCAATGGTTAAGGATTCAGCCAATGAGCTGAAGGTTCGTCCTGGATGACGTTAAACCATAATGTGCATTTCAAGCAGCTGGCTGCTGCCTAAATGGCGGTTTTTGGCCAAAGAACGGCATCTCCAATGTGTCCTAGGAAATCCTAGGACAGGGGGAGTGCGGAGCTGCAACTGGTATTGTAGAAAAGAGTTGGTGATGGGAGTTGAAGGGGTCAATGAACCCGGATATTTTTGGCTCAAGAAACGTGGGCAATGCACCCTACGGAAAAGGTGTGTTTGGTTGTGCTTTGGGTTTTGTCTTCGGTTGTTTCAGGGGAATCAAGGGCTTCTGTTGGGGCTGACTGTTTTGTTCCCTGTCCTCCTTCGGTTGCCCCCCGTACCCTAAACCCTAGTTAGACCGTTAGACCCTACACCTAGACCCTAAACCCTTAACCCTAAACCCTCTACCCTATACTGCCTCATCTTCCTTTTCAGTCTCGCCGCCCGCCTTCGCCGCGGCATCGATGGCCGCGCCGAAGCCGCGCACGTCCCTGGCACCTCCGGGTTCGGAGGGTTTGGGGTTTAGGGCTTAACGCTTAGGGTTTGCGATTCGGGGTTTGGGTTTAGGGTTTGGGGTTTGGGTTAAGTTTTCGGTTTAGGGTTTGGGACTTTCTGCTTAGGGTTTGGGGGTTTGGTGGTTTGGTGTGCGGGACCTACGGTTGATGGAGGAAATCTTGCACCACCTATTGAATAACAAGTGACACGACACATGAGCATGACCCCGCACCCCCTTTGTAATATTGACGACGATGGACACCGAGGTGGTGCAAGATTTTTGTCATTGGAACCCGCGGCACTTCCGAGGAAGAACAATCAATATTAAAAAGGGGGCGCGGGGTCTCTACTTTGTTTGGCCGTATAAAGCGGTGCAAGATTTCCTCCATCAACAGTACCTTACAACGTCGTCGCAGCAAGCAAGATGTATGATGAGTATACAGTGTTAACTGCATAATGTACATTTCCACAGTTAACGCTCAGTTAACACTCAGTTAACACTACAGTTAACACTACAGTTAACACTACCGAAATGCTGCAAAAACCAGCATTTTGCTGGATACACACATTTAAAAGAAG